AATAAAAAATATCCAAATGTTGGGCAATTATTGTCTTTATTTTCACCAGAAATTAAAGCAAATATTTGAATATAAGAACAGCTCATGATCAGATATAATAGACATTCATTGTCTGTTATACAGTATTTACATTAGTCGGACTATTGTCCTCATCTTTGTCGCCATATTTGTCACAACGTTTCGGCCGTTGTACGCTCCGGCCTTCTTCAGGTGGTTGGAATTTCGAACTGAACCCTTTATTTCGATCGCTGGGGTAGACTGTTCTAATTCCACGTGCCATGTTTTGATGGATGTCAGTTATCAGTTATCTCCTGCTAATTTTCCCTCTGAAAGTTCTCCACTGCCTTAACCAGGAATTGAACTCACCTTCTTTGGGTCTGTCACTGGATCTAACCAACGCCTTTATCCACTGTGCCATGTGTCCTTGAGGACAACGGCCGAAACGTTGTGACAAATATGGCGACAAAGATGAGGACAATAGTCCGACTAATGTAAATACTGTACATAATACCTCATCTCAGAAATATAGACAAACATTGTCTGTTATATTTAATAATATATGTTTAAATAATGGTCTGCTGTCCCGATACACAAAATAACTAAGATGAAGATATAAATTATGTGTGTGTGTATGTGTATATATTTTAAAGGAAAGAAATATAATAAAGTGACAAAAGTTTTTGTGTGATGAATTTTGTTCTTTAGGACTTTACTGGACTAAAGTGATGTTTACATTAATGTTACTACACATATATTTACATTAATGTTACTACACATATATTTACATTAATGTTACTACACATATATTTACATTAATGTTACTACACATGCACATGAACAAAAGGGAGATGCTGAGAATTTTAAATTTAAAATTTTTTTAATATATATTTTGGGTATATAATCAAGACAATTTAATTTAGATTTTTTTTCTTTTTGTTTATGTTTCCATCACTTTTCTTATTAAATATCCCACATTGTTATAATAGAAGATCTGCCAAGAACAGTAAAATATTGTAATAACCTGGATGCAAATTTACTATGGTGATCTAGCGATTAAAGCAATTTCTAAACATTTTTGCCTTAGTAAACTGTTTTCTCTTTTAATTAGTTACATTTTAAATATTAAAAATATATAAAAAATTTTTTTTTAATTTTTAAATTTAAAATTCTTAATGTCTCTCTTTTGTTCATGCACATGTGTAGGGCACAGCAACATAAATGCAAACTTAGTCTGATAAAATCCTAAAGGTAGAAACACATCACACAAAAACTTTTTCCACCTCGTCATACTTCTTTCCCTAAAAATTAATATTATTAATTTGATATATGGTACAATTCAAAAGTTGTTTGGGGCACCTCAAGGTGGTGTAATGGTTAGCAAGCTTGTCGTGAGTTCGATCCTCACTGAGTGCCCCATACTTTCGGCCTTGTGCCACATCTAAGCTATAGTTCAAAAGTTTGAGGCTACCCTTGGTAATTTTTTAATTTGGCCTCAAAAATATTGTTTTTGTAATTTAAATAAGAGAAATTTATTATACATGTTTTAAAAAAAAGTGAGACATGACTTTTATTAGAAATTTCATTATCACAAAAAGAAAAAAGCATTTTATGATTAAATTTTACTCTTGTCAAAATATCCTCCTTTAGCCTTGATTACTGCAGCACAAATTTTTGACATTCATTGCAAAAGTTTTTTAAAGTATAAATTTGATATTTGACTCCATTCTTTTGTTAATGACTCTAAGACCTTTTTCATTTTTTTTCTTTCACTCTTCTGTCAAGTTCATCCCATCCTAATTTTGTGGGTGGCTTCAAACTTTTGAACTGTAGTGTTTTAAATGCTGTAGTATTTTTAAATGCTCCATAAATTATAATTAACTTAAATTTTAATTTAAATTAGTATCCATTCAGTAGGCATATTGTATCTTATTAATAATTTTCATTAAAAAAGATTTGACAATGTTTAACCTTCATGCTCGTAAAAAAATGGTGAATCAAAAGGATGGTTATCCCTTGACACCACTATTAATGGAAACTCTCTTCATTCCCTCGACAAGTTTATTGTTTTAAAAAAGCAATGATTAGAATTTTAATAAAACCCAAACATATGAAAGTGAATTTATACATTTTCTTTATTCTTGAAAACTGAAAACAAAGATATTAAACACTACTTATTTATTAGATTGCTTACTTACAAGAATAATTTTATATTTACAAGATTATAAAAATATTGGAGCCAATTATAATGTAATATTTATTTACCATTTTATAAAGAAATAAATATGACAAGAAATCTGTCTATATTTCTGAGATGAGGTATTATGTACACTAAGGACACATGGCACAGTGGATAAAGGTGTTGGTTAGATCCAGTGACAGTACCCAAAGAGTGTGAGTTCAATACCTGGTTAAGGCAGTGAAGAGCTTGGAGAGGGGAATTAACAGGAGATAACTGACATCCGTTAAACATGGTATGTGGAACTAGAACAGTCTACCCCAGTGAGCGAAATAAAGGGTTCAGTTCGACATTCCAACCACCTGAAGAAAGCTGGAATGAACAATAGCCAAGACATTGTGATAAATATGGCAACAAAGATGTGGACAATGGTCCGAATAATGTAAATAGTGTATGACAAGAAATCTTTTTTTATTTATAAAAATGTCTGTGAAAAAGAAAATGTAAATAAACACATAAGGACAACTAACTGCAGTCATAAATTTTGAAAAAATTAATTTTCCAGGCATTTTTTTCATTTGTGCTCAGTACATAAATTTAACTGAAATACTTTTCATAGTTATTTATAAAATAGTAAATAATAAATATTGCAATGTATTTAGTTTTGTTTATTTTGTTTTACAGCATATCAACCTCAACTGGCTATTTAATGCCAACAAAAATTTTAGGTTCATATGAATAGAATATGTATTATCTTTTTTTAAAAATGCATTGCTGGTAATATTTTTTTTCAAAGATGTATTACTGGTAATTTTACTATACAAATTTGTTTTTATATATAGTATTTTGACCACAGTTTGGGGATTAACTATTTGCCCATAGCTGGGACCCTAACAAGTGTTACTACCCGAGGTCAGAGTGGACCTGAGAACAACAGCAATTAAGAGGTGGTTCCATGCTACTCAAAGCCTCCTGATCAGAGGCCTTGCTGCCAGATGTAGTTTATCGTCATATCCAGGACATCATTGTAGTTGGTTTACATTTACTAATTTTGTAATTTTTTATAAATCTTTGAATAAAAAAAAAAATTCACTTCAAATTTATTTCTTTATAAAATGGTAAATAATAAATATTGCATTGTACTTGGCTCACATATTTTTATAATCTTGTAAATAAACATTACCAAAGGAGTCAAAAGTGAATACAATAATAGTGGTGTCAAAGGAATAACTGCCCGTTTGACACACCATTTTTTGTTTGCATGAAGGGTTAACATTTCCAAAGGTTTCTATTTTGTATAAAATTGATAATTAATAGAATATGTTTTAATAATGTGCCCACTATAATTTGAATCTGTCTAATTCATCATCTTACTAAATCTTAATTTATAAAGATTTTTAAAGTTTATCTTCACAAACACTTCTGTAGTATTCCCATCTTGGTTGTTAGAGTCACAATATTTCGAGCAATTAGTTGGCCTTCCTCAGGTATTTGTCATAATTGGTAAGCAAGTATCCTATAGAACACATGGTCTATATCTAGTGACTGCTAGTTTTAACTTCAATCTCCGGGTAAGGTTAAACTAAAATATTATATACTTTGATTCAGTGAAAGATATAGACAAATAATATCACAAGAACTGACACAACATATCTTGTAGCATGGACAATAGAAAAGGAACAGTGTAACCTTGGGAAGTGAATAAAGTTTTCAGTTAAAATTCCCAGAAAGTTATCAGCTATGATAGACATCTAAAGGTCAGAGAATACAATGGTCACGATATTATAACTATAACACTCACAATGAAAGATACTTGTCTGAGTAAATCAGGGTGTAATAATGATTATTCCCCATCTAAAAACATTTGGACAAAATTTATTGACTCTATAACTCGATTTCAAATCGAGTTTACTGCTGTGTTTCGCAACTTATACACCATTTTTCAAGAAAGGGTACACTCTTAAGCATTTCTTTAATGAGACAAATATTAGCAAAAATATTTGCTTTTTAAAGAAAACAAAACATAAAATCAAATTGTATTTAACTTATGGAAGGAAAACTCTGAGGTCAAGCAAAATCAAGAATTGAAAACAGTAATAATAATAATAATAGTGATAATAGATAAATGAAAACAAAGAAAATTTAAAACAAGAAATTCTTTTAATATAGGTTTTCAAAGATATTTTGCAAATTCTAATCACTGTAAATAAAAGAACAAAGAAAGTAAAAAAAACATTTCTCAAGAGGTCAGTCTAGAACATGTAAGATTTTAACAAATATGATTCATTATATTAATCTTATTATAAAGTGAGGTTATAAATAAGGTAGTTCTCCTAAAAATTAGTTTTTGAAAAGCAAAGAACAAGAAAAGGGTTAGGAAATTTTTTTTTGCCTAATTTTTTTTTTTTTTAGAATTATTCTGAAATGAGAAGATACATATTTAGTGATAATGTTCGTTAATTGGTTAATTCTTTTAATGAGAATATTATCTTGAACATCTATTTTACATATTCACATAGATCATAATTAAAAAAGAAAAAGAAAATTTGTATTTTTTTATTTTGCCCCTTTCACATGTAAGACATAACTAGTCGCTGTGCTATAACTGCAGTATGTTGATGGTGGAACTTCATTAACTATGATTCTCCACAGAGTTTTGCCTCTCAACCTCTAAAAACTGGCCTACAAGGAAACAGAAGGATTCCAGTTAGTTGTCTGGGTTATCATCTAGACTTCCCTGGATTTTTTCTTTTTTTTTTTTTAACAATAGGTCCTTTTTTATTTTTTAATACTCTAAAAACGATCAAAACCTTCCTTGGAAAAGATGACAACCGTGGAGTACGATCTGGACACGTCAGGAGGGCTCATGGAGGTGAGGTTCTTCAGCGATGGAATTAGAATGGTGTTTAACCGAATTCCTGGCCGATTACGGGGAGGTTTTGTACCTCGATGTTTGAATTAACCCTTCGTTTGATGATTATGGGGTATTAATCTGTCTCTGGCGGTAAAAATCTTGTCCGAGACGTTAGCAAATCTGTCAACTTGAAAAACTAATCACTGCCCTTACCAACAACTTTTTTTTTGTCGTAAGATTTAATGTTCTTTTCTTTCAATGAAAACATCACCTATTTACCCGAATCAAGGGCTTTTAAAAAAGTTTTTAGGTCACCTTTCAGTTTTGTGCTCTTTAAAATTACGCTTGTAACCCCCTTTTTTTAAACTAAGTGTCAGTTTAGTTTGTGAGCGATCTTAGCTTTGTGGTCTTCTCTATCGGAAGATATTCGAATTTCTTTGTTAAAAATCATCAAATCCCATCTTTTCAGATCTAAATGAAGTGATGAGACATTAAAACTCATTATTTACCTACATTTTAAAGATGTTTTCTGTTTGATTGATGTTTTTTCCTCAGTTGTTGAGCATCACATATTTTTTCAAACCTTGTTTCTAGCAGTTTGACACTGGTTCATTCCCCCTGTCTTGTTGTTATAGCAATAAAACGTGGTCTAAAAGTGGGGGATCTATTTACAATGTGATCTCATTATAAAATCAACCCCCACTTTTCGACCACTCCATATGTACACATATACCTCAACATTTATTTTCCTATTGATGATAATGTGAGTTTTTTTGTATTTAGTCCCTGAATGCCGATCTATGACACATTTATATTGACAAACCGATACGATTGCGAACATCTGATATATTTGATTCCTAGTTTCGAAATTAATTTCTCTTTTAAAAATATTTTATAGTTTTAGATGTTAGTGCTTTATGTTTCGCTCAATCTCTTTCTTTACAAAAAGAAACATGTGTCTTGTCGATCTTTAAAAGGCATTTATCTAAACATTTTATTAACAAAGTTTAAAGTTAACAGGCTAGATTAATTTTAATAGGTACCAACTATAGTTCATTTTATCATTGTTTTATAAATGCGACTTAAAACATCCGATTTTTCCAAATCTGATAAAATTGCTTAGAACAGTAGCGTAAGATATGGTCTTTTCTTCTCTATGTCCGCCTTTAATATTTTATGAACATTTTCATATCTTTTATTCGTTTATTTCATTTATGGAAATGTAAATCATAGCTTTTGCATAAAATAAAATAAAAACATCTTGTATCCAGTAAATAAAGAAAGCAAACGTTGATGAAGTATAACAATAATAAAACTAAGTGTTGGTTTATCCCTCACTTTATGACCAGAAATACATTTTTAAAAGTGACATCTCTGTTAGTAAAAGCAGTATTTTGAAAAAATTCTTGCAGTTTAATAAGAGATTATTTCTTTTAAAATGTGTATTTTTTGTTTTCCTTCTTTTTTTTTCATTTTAAAAAAAAATAGTGTATTTCTTTGTTAGAAAGATCGTTATCTGCATTAATTTGTTTTTATTTTGATAGTCCAAAAATTGTTTTGTTGGATAATGATCGTATTTTTTCTTAGTTGTTCAGAGGTAAAAGATTAGTTTGAAAACGCAAACAAAAATAATATTTTGAAGGTTAAATTATCTTTTTAACTAGTATAATGAAGAAAGAATAAAAATTTTATTTTTATTTTAGTTCAAAGAAATCACAGTTTTCTAAATCAAGTCATCAAAATTTTTCTTCAATGGAAGAAGTTGCAAAATGGGGAAAAATGCTTTTGTTTATAAGAAGTGAATGAAAAAGAAATTTACTTACTATATCATATATATTTTCAAGAACTTGTAAGTATCAGTTTGTCACTCACAAAACAAATCTTTTCCAAAATGTGTTTATTACATATCTGTTAAAAATCCCCAATAGTTTTTGTGTTCGTCTAGGTTTAAGAATTTATTATCCAACTTTAAAGAAAACTTATTTTGTGAAATATATAATAGATATGGTCATAAAAAAAATCAACACTGCATAGTAACTGGCAGTTTTACACCATAAGTGTTCTCCAGATCAAGGTACATTATTTGTATCTATTGAGAACTATTCAATCATAAATACAGCATTTTAAACACACTGATATATATATATATATATATATATATATATATATATATATATTGCCAACAAGAATTAATTCGAGCAAGTTTTGTTAAATTCAGCTGACAAGTTCTGTTGATTTAATTTTTTGGAAATAGGGAAATATCATGAAAAAATTAAATAGACAGACCTTTTCATTGAATATAGGTATATGCACACAAAATATCTATCTATCTATCTATCTATCTATATATATATATATATATATTACAAACACAAGATTTTTATAAAGATCTTGGTCTGATCCGAGTTACAAAAATCAGTATTGCGATGTCTGAATACAATTTTTGGGAAGTGGGTTGAGCTGAGAACTTTTCAACACTTATATACATGTCTGTGTGGAGATTTTATATATATATATATATATATATATATATATATATATATATATGGCCGGATTATGATCTTGTGGGGGGTCACCCTCTAACTTATCTACAACCGTTTTGAATACTTTTTACTTGTGATATATTTTAGTGACTTTTACATAGCTTAATGTAATCTTATTGCAAATTCTTTAAATAAACTAGAATAGCTATTTTTTATTTGTCGATAAAAATATTCATTAAGAAATATCACTATTTTATTATTTATTGCAAACCAAATTAAAACATACTTCAATGCTATCTTAGTAAAAAAAAAAAAAGATTAAAAAACAGATTTTTTATCACCAACATTATAACAATAACAATCAAAATAAAAAAGAGTTTATTATTTCAGTTTATGTTTTGTATGTTATAACATCTAAAAAATTAACTTCACTGCTTTATAAAAATTTAAAAACAGTCTGAATTAAAATCAAACAATGATAACACAATGATAACACAATGATACAAATGAAAACATTCTTTTCCTTGCTTTGCTTCCTGCAAAGTCAAATGAATATGAGTTTGTCATATTGATGTCATTTCAGTTCATGAAACAATTTAGAAGATTAAAATTATTGCTTTATAAAAGCTTGAAACCCTATGATGCAGCTTATACTAGCCTAATGTATGTATATATATATATATATATATATATATATATATATATATATATATATATATATATATTCAACATATTCATCTCTAATAAATCTAGTTAGCCTATCCTTTTTCCCCAGACAAATACTGAGCCAACTGTAAACCTAATATGAAATGCTTTTTATTTCTATATTTCTTTAAGGTGTGGAAAGAGATGTTTGTATAGAATTTCAGTTAGCTTTTTATTTACCATAAAAACCTTGCCATAAACAGACTATTTTAACGCTTTTATAATTCTATTGATTCGAGTTAATGCAACCATTTTAGCAGTAGTAATAGAAATTTATTGTTTTTTTTATAACCTTTAATTTTTTTTTTTTTTTTTTTTTTTTTTTAGTAAAATAATCTCAATTTGACAAGGGAAGAAACCCTGTTTTGCTTGTAAAAAAATGTCCGCGGCTAATTTAATAATAGATCAATCTAAACAATATTTGTATTCCTCTTGCCTTTTGTTTTTAAGATTTTATGGTAATTGTGTATCCTTTTTTTTATTTTAGAACAATTCTACTTCTATCTTGTTTGGATTTCCGTTCAAAAATAAAACAGTTTATAAAGTTAGTCTTTTAACAAAGGGAGGAATCGAATCACATCCTCATTTTAGAACGCACAGACCACTTAAATACCCACAGCTGGTAGATATCAACCAGGCATGTTGTAGGTATGTGTATGTGTGTGTGTGTATATATATATATATATATATATATATATATATTTCTAGGAGAAAGCGCATAATCTGTCAAACTTTTGAAAGCCTGTATGGTCAAACCTTGGTCATATTGACTTCCAAACTGTTTCATCTACCCAATTTCCCTTATATATATATATATATATATATATATATATATATATATATATATATGCACATGCACACATATTATCTTTCACCAGTAGCACAACTCGGCACCTGAAGATTACATTGTGCATGAAACTCCAAGATGTGCTACTGGTGAGGGATAATATTTATATCGATATATACTTAATAACTCTGTTTTATTAAAACCAGCACTATATGTGATAGATATATATATATATATATATATATACACACACACACTTTGTAAGAATAAACGCTAATGCTTAAAATAAGCTAAAAGCTTAAAATTTAAAATAAACTGAGAGCTGAATGTTAAAATTGACAGACTCTAAATATAACAGTCATAATATGAAATCTGTTACTCAGAGTTTCATGCAATGGCAATCATCAGGCAGATGATGATAGCCATTGCATGGATCTCTGAGTAGTGGATTTGGTATTACTATATTATCTATCTATATCTATCTTTTCAATATATATATATATATATATATATATATATATATATATATATATATATATAAAAATGTGTGTATGCAGATAGCATAACAGTTATTTGTGTTGAAAGTGAAATTGCCAACATGGGTTCAAATTTTGTTTGATTCTGTTTTGTTCACTTTGTGCAAATGTTCTTGTAAAAAGCATGAGTCCATCTTTCCCCAGTTCTTCCAATAGCAATGCAAACTGGGCTCTCTTGCCTCTGGTTGCAACCAGTCTAGCAGAAGAAAAAATCTAAATTCAAACCTCATCAGCTTTGTAGATTTTGTGTCACACTCTGTAAAAAAAAAAAAAAAATTTCCGCAGCTAATAGATCCCACATCACAGAAATATTAAAAAAAAAATGAAAGTTAAGAATAGAAAGTGTGGTAAATTTTGCTTTATACTTGCGATTTGTTTAAAATAGTGTTCTGAGAAACTGGTCAGTTTTTTAGTATTATTTTACATCACCTTTTGCCAGATTTGTGACAGGAATGTTTAGGTGTCAATCTAGTATCATTAACCCCTACCCAAAGACAACCAATGAAG